AGCTTCAACAAAAAAGAAGAAAGTCTAAAACTCAACAAGGCCTCACTCCCAGCACTGAAAAATACAGCCTGCAAAAAGTGAACAAACTCTACCCAGTCACAAGGACCAGTGATCACTGCATACAAAAGACTAGCTAATGATACCCATCAATCACAGTGACAGATCATCTCTCCCCCTTATCACAACAATACACCCACAACAAAAAACATGCTGATTACCATAATCACCCAATCTCTCGAAAAGGACAAAAAGCTGGTCCCATAGCTATAAATACTGAACTATCCAACAAACTGCACCAGAGCACAGAGTTCTTACTACTATCCTCTGATGATGCCAACCACAGAGACTGGCCAAACGTTAGGAAGAAAAACCTTAAGAACATGGCCAAACATCCTGGAAAACCCACAACAACCATCGGATCCTGGTTGTGAAAGCCTTCGAGAATACAAGCATTACACTTGCTTATCTTTGCAAACTTATTATTTATTTTGGATTCCCCTTCCCATTCACAGTCCTACATGTTTGGAATTCGATAACTGTTTGCATATTAGGATAAGAAAGCCACTTTGTAACATTTATCAGCGTTGTCATTGCATATTCTAGGATTCAAATAGGAATATATACAACAATCTGACGCTTGTACGAAGTCTCTGTTTGCAATCTATTTTCTACTGATTCTAGACAAACTCTATTAAGACTGTATTCTCGAAGGCTTTCATGGCTGGGATCTGATGGTTGTTGTAGGTTTTTCGGGCTGTCTGGCCATGTTCTGGAGATTTTTCTTCCTAACATTTCACCAGTCTCTATGACTGGCATCTTCAGAGGACAGGAGTCAGAACTATGTCTGTGTTCTGGTGTAGTGTGTGGGATTGTTGAGTATTTGTAGCTGTGGGATCCCACAGCTGAAGATGCCGGCCACAGAGACTGGGGAAACATTAGGAAGAAAAACTTCCAGAACATGGCCAAACGGCCTGAAAAACCTACAACAACCGTTTATTAAGACTGATGGTGAGGATGCTGCAGAATATGTGTGCTCTAGACACAACTTTTTAAATAATAATAATGTTATCATCACAATTAGTATGAACGTGAGAGAATCAGTCTACCTCAAGTGGGAAGGAAAGTGCCTCTCATTCAGGAGGACATTCCTCCCTCCTTGACAAGGAAGTGGTGGTAGGGGCAGTTGGCTGTGCTCCAGGAAAAGGAAGACGATGAGGCAGCGGCAGCAGTTGCAACATTCACAGGTGGCCAGAAATTCCAGTTCATAGACTTTCACAGAGTGACAAGGCATCTATGAGGGCCACCGGAGAAGGGAGAGCAGGAGATTTGCTGTACCTAGTGCCCGCTGCTCCTGGAGGTGACTGACTCACTCATGACAGGGACAGCCCAATACAGGATTGCAGTATCTCAAAGAAGATTTGGGGAGATAAAACCAGAATCTTGAAATTCACATGTGGATATTTAAATAGTTCCAGGAAGAGCCAGTCCAAGATGTTTGGCTGCCACAGAGAGATGGCAGGGTGCCCTTTCCCCTCATTCTGTGTATAAAAGCAACCCAAACTGTCAGTTGAAACTTACTTCTAACACTGATGATGAAACACATCTTCCACCTGGGCACAGTAGGCTAACTTAGAGGACAGGGGCTAGAATCCCTTTTTTAAAATGGGTAGAAGCACAGGGGAAAGGGAAGGGGACTGCTGTGAGGGGCAGCTTAGGAAGGAGCCAAAAAGCACATCTCTTGGGGAAGTGAGGTGCTTCAGGACAGGAGACAAAAAAAAAGGGCAGTGATGGGAAAGGATGGAAGAGGAGGGGCTCAGAGAGAGGCTGTATTTTTGTCAGGGAGTGGAGAGAAGCTGCGCAGGGCCAAGAGAAGCAGAGTCCTTCACCTCCCCTGTCCCTCAGTCCCTCTAGCCTTCAAAGAGAATTGTATATGCTAGGATTTACCAGCGAAAACATTGGCTGCAGGATTTTTACTTCCGTTTAATCATCCTAAATGTGAGAAATGTGTGTCATTTCATTTGGGTGGTTGTTTTTTTTGCAGCGTTATAATTCAGCCTAACTGAGCAGCATTTTTTAAAAAAATATGACTTGCTTTTTTTTTTTAGTAAAGACGCCTTTTAATCTCATGGCAGGCTGTTGAGCTCCGTCTTGCCTTTAGCACTGAAACGACTGCACTTGTCAAATAGAGAATAATCCTTCTGAAGCCTTTTAATGAACACTCAAGCCATGTACTTTTCGGAGATTTTACTTTGCTTTCTTTCACAAGCTGAAAGCAGCCTGATCTCCAGCAGTTCAGAGTCAGAGGCAACAGAGATACTACACCGGCCACTTGTGTTTCTGAAGAGTGTATTATCTTAATCAGGATTAGAAATGAGACTTAGCAGCTATCAGTGAAGGCTTGGGTCCAAATGCTGTGTATGTATTTGTGTGGGGAGTTTAATTTAAACATTTTGGTGTGAGGTCCCTCATTTGGACCACAGACTGTGAAGAGAATGTATACAGTGAAGCCACCCATCACTGGCATCCAGAACATCATCCCAAAGATGATGCTATTGTGTTCTCATAAAGAATGAACAAGTTCAAACAATCTGAACAAGTTTCAGAAATGTGTAGTAATACCTCCCAGGCACACAGAATAAAAACAAATTCAACATTTTTTTCCTCTTAAAGTTCATTTTGAACGTCAAGCACCACTGAGAGTAACCGTTCATTCCTTCTTGCCCGGTGACAGATGGAGAAAAGCGCTTACCCCAGATGGCCATGAAAATGGCAAAGAAGACGGTCCCTCCATTGTCAAATAAGTGTGTGACCTTAGGAGAGAGAAAAAAACACCATGCAAATCAATGGATGAAATTAAAACGTTAAATCCCCCTTACAGGAATAAATAATATAATTAATTGCATAAACTTTTTTATGGAAGCTGGACAGGATAAGGGGTAAATTAACCTATTTTATCACTTAGATAGTGTAATGCACAAGATGTATACAACACCTCTGTTGTGTTGAAAACTCTGTTTTAGTGTTAGGCAAACAAAAAGAAGCCACAAAATTCTCTGTGCAAGTTTTTGAGACTAAAAAACAAAACAAAACTGAACAACCCTTTATTTTTGGGGGCATGTTACAAAATGTTGGGATGTCTGGGAGCTCATTCTTTACAATGGGCAGACTATCTTCTCTTGCAAAGAGATAAGCCAGTAACTGCCAGATGAATTTTCCAAAAGGTTTTAAGAGGCTAGTAACTAACAATGCAATTTCCCCTGGGACAGCAATACTAAATGTCTTGCACTGGGGGGTGGGGAACTATCTGAGACACTAATTAGAGGTCTTGGCAGAACAGTTAATGCACTTAAGTGCCGCAATGTCACATTAAATACCGTATTGTTGACTGTTGCATATGAAGAATAATAGGGACTCAAATATACAGCATCCGTGCTTCTTTTATTTGGTGCAAAAACAGAGGGCATATTTCTATATTTAGAGGAATGGGCTACAGAAATGTAACAAAGCTCACCCTGAGGACATGAGAAGCAGAACATCAAGACATTCTGGCACTGGAGGAAGATGTACAGGACCTGTCCAAGCACCCCTGGCAGCCCATGTGATTGAGACCTCTGATTTATCGGGTTTATGTTTGTGTTGAGAACCTGCATATATCACACAAGCTCTCTTTTTCAGATTGCCTTGTTCCACACAGGGAAAATGAGGACAGAGGGTGAGGCTAAGGCACTCCCCTTCCCATGTACATCTTTTAATGTTTATTGCAGAATACCTCGGTGGGATTCATATATTCAGTAAATGTTTGGAGGGTGGGCCAAATTCAGTAGTTCCCCAGCTTGAAGGTTCTGCTCCTCTCACTTTTCTTTTGAAAGATCTGAAGGGGATAGCCACATATTAGACTCCTCACTGACACTGCCTATGAGGCCAGTGATAATGGGTGCACTACCCACTCTGTATGTTCAGTGAATACATGATTTTGAGGAAGCTCTGAAAGGGGCTAGAAATTTCATCGGACCTAGCAGGGCTATACCAACTTTAATAAATGGAAACCAAAGACAGCTCAAAATGAGCAGAGAATAAGATTAGTTCAACAATCAACTATTAACTGCCCAGAGTAGACACATTCTAGATGGGTGGTATATAAATCTAATAAATAAATAAAATGGGGCTTACGTTAAGGGCAAAATAGCAGATCTCCTGCCACTTTCAGAGCCCAACTGACTTAAAATACAGTCCAAACTGACAGGAACCTAAGGATACAATCAGACGGCACTTTGTTCTAGGTTTCAACCACTTTGGGGACAGGCAGGTTCACTCCCTGTTCTGGTAACCATACAATGCAAGAATCAGTTGCAAAACTGGCCCACACACTTTTGGGTCCCTGGCATGAGCAATTTTTTTTTTTAAGTGAGGGTAGAATTGCTCAGTTTGTGTACAGTTCCTGTATGTGTGATTGCAAGTAACAAACTTACATTGATTAGCTATCACTTTGCTTGAGCTGCTGCAGAATAAAACCTTTATTCAGGGGGAAATGATACCACTAAATAAATTCACAATAAAACCCAGCTTCCTGCTGCCTCAAGCCAATTCAGTGATATACCATTTACAAATATATATATATATGTATATATTGGGTCCCTGGCATGAGCAATTTTTTTTTAAAGTGTGGGTAAAATTGCTCAATTTTTGTACAGTTCCTATGGGATAGGCCATGCAGGGACACTCAAGACGGACAGGTCATAGTGGAGAATTCTGACAAAACACAATCCACCTGGAGTAGGAACTGGCAAGCCACTCCAGTATCTTTGCCAGGAAAACTCCATGGACAGAAATAAATGGCTAAAAGATATGACACTGGAAGATGGGCCCCTCAGGTCGGAAGGCATCCAACATGCTACTGAGGAAGAGTGGAGGACAAGTATGAGTAGCTGCAGAGCTAATGAAGTGGTTGGGCCAAAGCTGATTGTCCTTCTGATCATCAGCTACTTATAGCAAAACTCAAGCTTAAACTGAAGAAAGTAGGAAAAACCACTGGGCTAGTCAGATATAATCTAAACCAAATCCCCTTTTGAATAAACAATGGAAGTGAAGAACATATTTAAGGAACTCGATTTGGTGGACAGAGT